ATTTCCTTGAGAAAGAAGCAGAGCATCACAGGGTCTCTGAGCGCTCCATGATCTCCTGCTACTGAGAGAAACTAGTGGTGTTACACACTCGGTGTTGTTCATCACTCATACTGGACTTTGGATCTCGGTTGATGGTAAAACTTTTTTTTTAGAAACACACAGGTCCGGTAAGAGATGATCACCTGGTAACCCTTTTGATTCTCTCTGAGGCATCGAGTTGTGAAATCGGCCTTTCTGTGGTTTCTCCACTTTTTCATTTCTTCTCTTGGCTCTTGGTTTCCTGTTTCTGAAACTTAACAGGGCTTTCATCTGGTCTTCTCTTCCTCCTTTTATGGCCCTCTGATTTATACATTAGTGTCTGTTTTTCTTTGCAGCATTTAGAAGTTAATGGTGGAAAGAAAAATGTAACCAAATACTGTATGGGTTCAAATGTCCAAATGATTCTTCCAGCTTTCACAAAACCTCACATTATTGGAAAATAAAATGTTAGCCATCTTTACATTTTCTGGGACTTTTGGGTGAGAATTTGATTCATGAGTTTAAAATGTACGTTTACCTAGTAAGCCTGAAACATGTTAACTGGTTGACTTGAAGATGCAAAATGAACTTTTGTTGCACTAATAATAATAATAATAATAATAATAATAATAATAATAATAATAATAAAAATAAAAATAATACATTTTATTCATAAGCACTTTTCAAAAACTCAAAGACCCTGTACATTTGTTCAAAAAGAAGCTTGTTTAAAGAGGGTAATAAACCTGACTATAGTTAACTAGTGAGGCTTACAGAGTCACATACAAACATGTTATCCACTGGGTTAATGTGCATGGAAAGCCGTTCCAACATTAATTCAATATTTTTGATTCGATTTTTTGAATTTGATTTTGAAATACTTTATTAATCCCTGAAGGGAAATTCTGGTTTACACTCTGTTATTTTTTAGAGACATGCTTCTCACACACGCAGGCCTGAATCACACACAAACAGGACCTGAGGACATGTAGTAGTGGAGAGATGTCAGAGTGGGGCTGATACGCAGGGAGCTTTTGGAGTTGGGTGCCTTGCTTAAGGCATCTCGGCAGTACTCGGGAGGTGCTCTGGCACCTTTTCAGCTACCAGACCAACTTCTGTGTTTTAGGTCGACACCGGGACTTGAACCGGCGACCCTCTGGTTCTCAACCCAAGTCCCGAGCAGCCTTTCCCAAACTGCAGCGCCCCACTTTGATATACAAAATTACTCCGGGGCCCGTTATAGAATAAAAGTTTTGACTACAGCTATCACTTTCAGTTAGGGTAAACTATTGGACATGACAACATGATATTAGACACAAAAGTTTACTAAACATTATGTCCATGAATAGTCATTACAGGCCTTACTAATCACTTAAAGTGTTGACTCATGGTAAATCATCATTATTGTGATATTTATTTTATTTTTATACTTGGTGGAGGACTTTTCGCGGCCCACCTGCAGTACCCACACGGCCCACCAGGGGGCCGCAGCCCACACTTTGGGAAGCACTGCCCTACAGACTGAGCTACTGCCGCCCCTAATGTCCTTGACATCTCACATCAGTTTCCTGTACTAGATCTGTTCACTAGTTAAACGCTGAAAGCCTTATCACTGTACTAGTAGACAGAGAAGCATTCACATGTTAATTATGGCCAAAATATCTACTAGTTATAGTGGGAGACATTTTTACGAATACTCATAAACTAGGAAGAGCCAAAATGAGAGTGAGGGTGTCTACAAACTGACTAGCTAAACAGTGAGGCTAAAATGTTTACTAGACTCAAAATGAGCCGCTATGGTATCTTTATTTTCCTCTAAAACTAACACATAGGTGACGTTTTTTGACACTGGTTGAGCAGTTACTAGAAAACTGGCACACTAGTCAACATCTGCACACGTCTACTAAACTAGTGAAGTGCAGCAACAGTCAAACATGTTGATAGTGAAATGTTATCATGTGACTAGTTAGTTGTGCATGCATGTCACCTTAGTTTTGCTGCTCTCAAGATACAATTTTCCTCCATGATAAGTTTAGGGATTAAATCCTTTCTAGGGTTACTGGTGGATTTTTTGCCCTTCCTTGTTAACTTGTTGACACTGCGTCCATTTTTCCTTTATCTGTATCTCTTTCACGATGCATGTGACACACTAAAACTGTTAATGAGGTACGCTCAACACAGCGAGCGGTTCCAGTAATCACACACACATCTATCAGCACTGCGTGGTAATTGTTGCTTTATTGCTGCCAAGAAGTGCCATCTTTTATGTGGAGAAGTGTAACAGCCACTGACTCCTGTATTCAATATAAAAAAAAGGCCACAAGCTGGTTAAGGCCACTGTTGAAAAAAAAACAGAGTTTAGTTCTTGGCCTCCCCATCGCTGCCTCTCTGCCAAACTGTCGCCATCAAAGGCTATTGTGCCGGGCTGAAAAGGCAGAGTGCCAAATAATGGGTCAGAAACTTTTCAGTATTTATGCTGCCTGCCTGAGAGTCAAAGAGGCACATGGAGTAATAGTTGTAATGGCTGTGCAGAGTATTCAAAACACACACACACGCATGCACAGCAGTAGGTTATTGACTTTTCATTGATCTTCAGAGCTTTCATTCTTGCCTTTAGGCTTTGAATCTCGGTCTATCTTTTAGTTATATCACAGGACTGAAGAGGTCAAGCCCCAATCCGCCATCATTATACCCCCCTCTACAGAAAAAGACACATATTCTACACACACACGCAGGGTATGATAATTGACTTCAACACAAGGCCAAAGCCTGCAGAAGCTTTTATGACTTGTCAATAATCATAATGTCATGTTGATGGACTAGGTCAATATCTGTGCGTGCTCTCTGTCCGTCTATTCTCCTTTGTTGTGTTTCTCTCGTTCCCCCTTTTAGACCACTTTGCCCTCCTCTCTATGGCTTTGTTGAATTAGCCCAATTATAAATAAGAAATACATGAAAGTCATCGGCGTATATAAACACTTTCCACCTGTAGTTACTCGTGGACTCTCCGTGCCTTCCGGTCTGGGAATAGTTGTGCATGAGTCACACACAGAAGTCTTCAACTCATGAATGAATCTGTGTGCCTAACATATGCTCGGGCACAAACACACACTCACACAGAAACGCACACACAGAAACACACATTGCATACAAATAGACTTTTTATTTTTCCCACTTCTCCCTCAGAACTGACAGCTTATATCCTCAGCGGCTCCAAGGTCACTGCCATGACAGCAGGAAAGATGTTTCCATGGAAACCCCCGTTGTATGACACAAGTGCTTTTAACTTTAAGTTTTTCACACTGGTCTGATGAACGTTTCCAGTCAATCTGGGTTACTATAATCTATATTTACAGATGCTACATAGAATCATATAGGCTTTAGGTGGGATCAGGATTTTGATAAGGGGACGTTTTCTGGTTTCTGTTTGTTGTCAAAATAGTAAAGACCAATCACATATGAGCAGGCTTAGGTGTATGCAAGAAGTCTGAATAGAGAGCAATAACAGGTTTAACTCAGCTCAGCTTCCAGCTTAACAGATATAGAAGGTCAGCTCATAATAAGTTCTAGATCAAAAATTAGCAACAACTCAGCTCGAATCTGTGTCACAAATCAGCATTTAGATTCACAGAATTCCTGGACTGCATCAGAAAAAATCGATCAAACCTCCCTTCAAAATTTAAGCATTTTAAAAACTCATCTCCTCTCGAGGACAGACCCCGACACAGGACCTGACAAAGCCTGAAATCTACTTTTAACCTATCTGCATCAGGGTTGCCAAATCCACTTGTTATAAGCGACTTTGGGATTGTTTTTCTGCAAAGTCGCTTGCAAATTTTATAAGTCGCGGGTTGTGTTTTTTTAGGCTTGTTTTCACACATGCACAACTACGCCTGACAGAGTGACAATGCCCGGGAATAAGTGGGGAAAATATGGAAAAAAAATGTGATAAAGAGAGGGAAAAGAGAGTGTATTGAAGGACTGGATTCGACCTCAGGTAGGGGATGACTCAAAGGCATTCTGCCGAAGTGTGAAATACTAATCTTTTCTTTTAATCAGAGTTTAAAAGTTGACTGTTGCCTATGCAAACAAAAATAAATATATATACTGTTATCAAGTGGTCTCTCTTTTAAACTCTCTATTTCACCTGTTGGGCTTTATTTTATTTATTTGAGGAGCCAAGTCGCTTTTTTTGGGCTTCTTTCCATAGAGCTGGTTGCTTATTTATCTTGCGAGAAGACAAACGATTCCTTATTGGCAGTGGCTATTTTAGAGTCTGTTGGGGCCCTAGGCAAAAATCAATTGGGGGGCCCTCCAACCAGCATTCATCATGATCATGTCTACCAGTGTCTCGACTCTTACTCCTCTTATGTTCTCTCCTATAGACGGATAATTCCTCTTCATCTTTCTTTGTTGACTTTCACCGATGAAATTCGTTTTTTTACCGCAATAATGGGAGCAACACTTAATTGGGCAATGAGATTTGGTGCTGTCAGATGGGGCCCCCCTTAGGGAGTTTTCCGACTGTCGTTGCAAAATTTACACATTTTTATCCACTGCTCTGGTTTAAGTTTGTGAGCCCTCAAGGGGTCCCAAAGCAGTTACCTGCCTTGCCCTCTTGACAAGCAGCGCCTCTGCTTATTCAGGCTACATTCAACTGAATCCTCTTTGTAACTATTTCCACTGAAACTGAGACTCACCAGAAAAAGACAACGAGCGCTCCTCTGGGGAATGCTATGAACCAAAAAATTACTTTGCAGACACATTTGGAATTTTGCTTTCCCTTAAGCCAAACACATGGCCCCTTCTCAAAGTGCTAATTGAACTTTAAACAATGAAGAAGGAGGAGGAAGAGGAAGTCTTGGATGGAAGTTATTTGCCGCCAACCACTGGCTATACCCCAATTACCAAATATTCGGCCATCACTTCCAGAGGCATATAGTTGAGGACAAGATTAGGGTTAAGATAATTGTTTTACTCACATGTGTCAGTTTTGAGCAGGCTGTTGGTGCTCCTGAAGTACTGAGGGTTTTCTATCACCGGGATCTTGGTCATACCGATGATCACGGCGTCTGGGCCCATCTCCGAGGACGACGGGGTGTTGCTGCCATTTGAGACGTGGTGAAGAGGAGAGGCAGAGTCATCGTCGTTGCTGATCACTGAAGACGGTCCTGAGAGAGAGAAAGAGAGAGAGAAGGGGGTGATGAGTGCTGCTGATTGTGTTTGGTTTATCTTATCTCTATGAGGATCCAGAGATGTCCTGGCATGTGAGATGGAAAAGCATATCAGTACACTTGTTAATAGCACAAGAGAATGAATTAAGTATTTAACCTGTTATTAGCAGAGATTGAAAAGATGAGATCATAAAGTGGGGGAGGTTAAGATGTTGTTATTGATCACAGCAGAGAGAGATGCCAGGTGCATTTTATAAACATACTTTAGCTCTCCGAACACTGTCTCAGAAAGTGCTCCTGCATACTTTAGAAGTTATTATCAGTGAGGTTTTTGCATTATGACATTGTGCAGCTCAAAAAATGGACTTGAACATTTTAGATAGATAGGAACTTTATTAATCCCTTGGGAAGGTTCCCTCAGGAAATTCAGTTTAACATTATTTTTAACCTTAAGTTCTAAGACTTTAGTAACAGACTCACAACTAAAACGTCTTTTTTTGGGTCTTTAAAATGTTGAGGGATCAGTACGCTCAAAATCAAGTCCTCGATGGAAGGTGTAGCTGTGTCTTTAAGGCTGGGCCTCCAATTATTCTTTGTTATTTTAAAGGCGCTGTGAGGAACTTCAGGTTTCTGTCAAATTTCAGCGCCCCCTGTAGATCAAACGGTGCGTCTAATCTCTTTCTGATTTTGTCCTTTACATGCATAGGTAGTGTTGTTTGACAAAAATAAAAGTCATCCTGCTTTCTTTTAACAATCAATGTATCAATCAACAAACTGTCTTGTTGTGGGAAGGCTGTTTCCACAGTGTGCTGCTAATCACTCGGACTGACACCTACCCCCATTTGAAGCAGTGTCAGATAAAAAACAACTTCAGATAAGTCATCAGTGTTCATGCTGATGGTCTTTTCGTTTTTGTATCTCATACAGAAGCAACAGTCAGTTTCATAGCCGACTAAAAAACTCCTCACAGGAGCTTTAATATGGACTCGAATATGAATCATTGACAATGAATCAACAATTGGCATCATGTGTCTTCACCCAGCTATCGCACCAAAACCTCCTACAAAAAAAATTATCTCATAGTGTTTTTAAAAAGTATAGCCTCCTAACTAAAGCTGAAGTTCTGATCCCCTTCCTGTGACTGTGTAAATGCCCTCTAACTCATTGTCACTACCACTTACCAGCTGCATATCATGACATTGTCTCTGGCTGAATTAAAGCCATTGTATCAATCAATCTTTATTTGTATAGCGACAACTCATAACTAGTGTTATCTGGAGACACTTTACAAAAAGCAGGTAAAAGACCGTACTTATTGCTATATTACAAAGACCCAGCTTAATCCATCATGAGCACTTTAGCAAAGAAGCAAATGTCAGGACTTGTCTCCCAATGTGCAAATATAACCCCAAAGGAAGCCCCCTGCTGACACTGTTTTACAAAGGTACTGTTTCTGCATCCTGAGCTTCAGTTATTGTGATTAGTGTGTTCAGTGAGACCTTTTCCCAAAACTGGCACAAGCTCTTCAATATAGTCAGGAGGTCTGGGTATGCAAGACTACATCCCCCATTGGTACGCAGAGATACATAAATTCTTGTTCTGACCATGAGCCCCATTCTAGAGGCTCGTGTAGGTTAAATGTGCACCTGCAGAGTAAGAACATGGAAAGGAGAGACACAAGCACCTGACAAACTTAGGTTGTGTTACTGCTTGTAAGACAGATAGGTTCAGAGTATTGACTTAGGGCCATCTTTTATGGATAGGAATTGTTTGAGAATGAAAAATGAGCCAGTAAGTGTGCCTGCGAGTCCTATTAGAGGGCTGCAGCAACAAGTACATTGATGAGCGGCTGTTTTCATGTGTGACTGCTGGGTTCGTTTCTTTTTTTTAGGTCAGTCTCTGCAGCAGCTAATGATGAAGTTAAGACAGGAGAGAGAGGAGATATATTTCTGAATAGTTCGAGGGTAACCAAGGGAATTAATGTTTGCGTTCAAAAGGACAAAGGCAAGTAATCTAGGAAGCTGGAGGAGTTTAAAAAAAAACAAATGGGATATTCAGATTCAGTGCTCTGAGTTGTTTTACTACGATTATCTACTGAAAATCTCCTCGGAGACCAAGCGTTATCTGCTTCAAACCTCGAGAATCCACCACTGTCTCATTTCAAGTGAGAAAAACTGTGCATATTAAAATTCATGTTTCATACGACAGACGTTTAAAATGCAGAAACAGCACGACGCAGAAAGCAGAAGAGAAGGTGGGATGGCATGAGTCAGACACCGAGCCCAGCCCTCTACAGGAACATGGTTTGCTTTGGCAACACAGCGGAGGTGTTATACGTTTCTCATTAAGACTGAAAGAGGAGACAGATAATGGCCCATCATGCTGATTCCATGTTGACAATTTTGGCACACCTACATGACAATGACGATGATTTTCTGTCTTCAGGTTGAGTGCCAAAACAAACAATTTCAGCTTTTCATTCCTCACAGATTATACCGTGAAATTGATAGCTACATTTGCAAGTGAGTACAGGCACAACTTGATGCTCACTTGCCTAAAAACACACAAAAAGAAAATTACTTTAAAGACTTAAATACTAAACTGTTTGCTTCCTGTTCCTTTAACCCTGTACTGTAACTTAAAGTAAAAGTGGTAAAGTGGCGTCATTATATATCATCAAAATCAATAACTCTTGATGCCACATGGTTAGCAAAACAATGGACCATTTGAAACCCAAATCCTGTTAAATTACCCGCAAAACTTCAGTCTCAGGGAAAAGAGTAACAATGGCCATGAATACCTCCATTCATACTGTAAATGCAGACATGCTGGGTAAGCATGAGGACATAGAACAACACTTTGAAACTTCAGACTCTCCTCAGCTTTTTTTTAATCTCAAAAATAGACTTTGAGAGCTTTAAGAAGCATTGGTTAGTGCACGCACCCCATGTGTGGAGGCTGTAGTCCTTCAGGCGGGCGGCCCAGGCCCAAGTCCGACATGTGGCTCCTTTCCCGCATGTCATTCCCTACTCTCTCTCCCTCCCTCATTTCTGACTCTATGTCTACAATAAAGGCAGTATGGCTTACACCATTCTTAGACGTCCCAGCTCAACTCTTACTCCGTTCTTGCTTGAGGTTACCAGTTGGACTTAAGACGGTTTCAACTCATGGCTGGAGGGGCGCCGGTAGCCTAGGGGTTACAGTATGTTGCACACCCGATGTACAGAGGCTCTAGTCCTCTTTGCAGCAACTGTGTGTTCAAAACCGACCTTTGCTTCATGTCATCCCCACTTTCTCCTCCCAACATTTACTGTCTTTCTTCCGCTGACGTATCCAATAAAGACAAAAATGGCCCAAAATTACCTTAAGAAATACAAACTCTTGGCTGGAAATCTCTTTTCTCTAAGGGAAATTAGAATCCCTGAAAAGTTTCCCTTTGCTGTATCATCACCAGACGTAGAGAAACAGTCTGGTATTATAATGATGTTTATTCATAGCAACAAGAAAATGAATGAATCAGCTTCACTCGGACATGAAGATCCTATCCATCACCCCCGCACACTTGCTCATGATGAAATTTCCACAATGATTTCTGCTTCGTTCACACGCGTTCTGACTTCATGAAAAATTGTGGACACTGGCAGGAAAAAGTCAAAGTAAAAGTCGGGATGAAAAATCTGGCTGTTTCCATTCAGACATCCAGCTCACCCTGAACATTTCTGGATATTTGGTGGGAGTTTTTGTACATGTGTGGAATCACCCTGCGCTGCATAAGAAGGAGACATGACAGCCCAACCTGTCAACCGTAACCTAAACTATTTGAGCATAAATGTCACTCTGAAAATGAAGCTTTTATTACACAAATCTCTCACAGGAGAGAATGTAAAACAGCTTTCAACACTTAACACTTAACACATAAATAATTGCTTGTAGAGAAACCCTCCGGTACATGAGGGAGTTTACTGCTGTTTTAAATGCTTATATGAGCTGTATTTGTTAGAGGTAATATAATGTTTTAATGCATCCTTCTCTGATTTAGGGGTGTGAACTTTCCTTGAATGTGGAAAACGTGTGCGTGCACATGTGTTTGTTTGCATAAAGATCTTTTCAAGGACGTAATTGGATGCTCCTGTCCTCCTGTCGGCCTCTCCTCAGCTCCTCACAGTTTGTCAGGTGAAGGGAAAATAACACCGGAGACAAGTCAGAGCACGGCTCTCATCATAAGCAGTGAAGCATTATTCACAATCGCCCGTACACGGTACCTCCTCTTCAAGACACGAGGAAGCCTGCACACATTGTATTAAGAGTTGAGATTGATTTCCCGTGAGCACCAAATACAGTAGATGTATTCCCTCTCATGTGGTCGCTTCTGCTGAATTATAACACCGGTTGACATCGCTCATTTCCTCTGTCCCTGAACTCATATCAGCTCTAGTGCGGAGCTTGATTGAGAGGGAGAAACATAGAGAGTTTGTTTGTTGTGTGTGTGTGTGTGTGTGTGTGTGTGTGTGTGTGTGTGTGTGTGTGTGTGTGTGTGTGTGTGTGTGTGTGTGTGTGTGTGTGTGTGTGTGTGTGTGTGTGTGTGTGTGTTGATGACTCATATGAGGATTAAAAAGGCCTTGGGAGGGAAAAAGAAGGAGTTAAAGCACAAAAGGTTTTTGTGTGTATGTGTGGAGTAGTGCATATACTTTTTATGTGGTGTTAATGTGTGTGTGTGTGTGTGTGTGTGTGTGTGTGTGTAACCTAGTTGTTTATTTTTCATTCGGTCATTAAAGCAGGCTGTAACAGGGGGAGTAAAAAGGCCAAATAAGATTTGTGGTGAACTGAAAAATATTCCTCAGCAGTTTGCTTCAGACCAAATCCTTTCGGCAGTTTTATGATTAAACTCAACAACTCTGCGGCAACAACCTATCATGCAGCTCCAGAGTGTTAAATGGTGGCTGCCACTTCCTTAAAGGGGACACATTATGAAAAATCCACTTTGAAAGTGTTTCTGA